ACTGTCAACCTGTATATCGAGACCTGCGGGCATGAAATGCAGTGTCCCCAGATAAAAGGAATGTCAGTACAAATAAAGTACCGAGTATGTAAGGCATGAAATCAGTATATAAAAGACATGAAAAAAACATGGAGTAAAGGACTCAACCTGTAAGTCTGAATAGCTCTGTGAATCATGAAACATTTATAATGTCATGCATGTGCGTATAAATGTCATATCATGCATATGTATATGCGTACATAAAATCATCAAGCCTCTGAGCGCAACCCATCATATCATCCCGGCCTCTGTGGGTGAAATTATCATCGTATACCAGCTGATCAAGTGGTGGTGCATATATAACGCCGTAACCTTTCCACATACCCCATATAAATATAATATACGCGTATATAACGTCATTTAGTCATGCGTAAATGTACATGTATAAATGAATGGAATGCATAAGAAGTAAGTCAATAAGATCTCTCGAGATGTCAAAAGATCAATATGCCTTAGGTTAATATCATGAAATAAACTTTATCAACTTATGTATTTTCTGAGACCCATGAACATGCGATATAATAATAGGACACATGGGGAATCAAGAACCTAGGCACCCCTAGCACTTCTAAGAATAAAGTCAATCGTGAAAGTTCTGCATTTGCTTGTTTTGATTGTATCATATGGATCATGCCAAAAGGAAAGAAGGGATAGCCTTAACATACCTTATAGAAATATGTCCAATAACAATGCTAAACTCATCTCACTGCACCATAATCTATAACAATGTCAGTGAAGCTATTGTCATGTTATGAATGACTCTCTCATTTATATAAATAAAGTAACTTAATCTGTAACAAAAAAGGGCAGTATATCCCCTGATTTTACTGCTCCCTCAAGCCTACTATAGGTGAGACAACAACACAATACAATCAGCAACTCAAAAACAACTTAACTATAATTTGGGACATTTAATACAACAAAAACCCCAAATATACCATAACACACCCAATCAACAAGTTATCAAGTAGCTTGAAACTGCAACGACGAGCGACCAAACTACTACCCTACCGCATGTGGCATTTATCCACGCCCTTTATCCTTAAAAACTCCATAAATTGGCAGCACAAGAGGCCAACATGAGTGGACTACAAAATAATTCACTAAAAGTGAAATAAATATTCGAACTCACGGCTTTCGATCACCGTCCTGTGCGTTCTAACTATTAGGAAACGAATTTATCAACCTTCCTTGATATTTAAAAGCTTAATTACAGAAAGTAGGAATTTTCTTAACTATGAAGTACCTTCCAAAACTCAAACTACAAAGAAAAAGAGATGTGATATAACGATACTTACGTCGTAGGGATCGTTCTAATGTTATCGCTTCTTGATTTCGTACATGGGATGTTAATCTTCTTTGAAACCCTTGTAGAGAGCTTAAAGGTACGTTTATGGTCTTATTTTGGTCGTGTTATGTGGAAAAATGAATAAAGAGACGACATAAGGGATATATATATCCACTTTTGAAAAGTTAAAAAGATGCTAGCTTGGCACCTTAACATTGGCCCTTCTTCCGACGCTTGTATCTTTTTATCCGGATGTCGTATCAACAAATGGTTAAGAGCTTGGAAACTAAATTCCAAGACCTTTAATTTGGTATATAATATGTCCCAAAATACCTCATATAACACACGAAATGTATTGCTAAAAAAGCTTTATTATAAGGCAAATCCTTAGTCGGTTTTTCCGCAACTTAAATCCGATTTTTTTCAAACTTTATATTTTGTACCCAAATATCATATATGGTCATATTATGACTTTACACTCATTTGAATCATGATTAACAAGTCTCATATTCATTATACGTCACCTTGGGATGCACAAGGTGTAACAAATTCCAAGTATATTGGGAGAAAATTGCAGCTACATTTGACCTAATTTTCAGCACATTTATGAATGTAACTTGTGATGACCTTTACCAAATTTTGTTCCAAAACTCGCTTGACTTTAAAATGTAATACATGACTATCATACGACTAAAGTAACTCATAGCATAACCTCCTTATCATGTTAAGAACCCTATTCTTATCCCAAGAGTACATGTTATAATATTTCCAACTTGTCGACTTTCAACAAAACTTATTTTCTTCAGTTTGTTTAGCTTCTAAGTCTTTCAGCCCTCTTGGTACTTGTTATTCATGATATTAAAGATTTGTAACCTCCAAGGTAACTTGATTAACTTACCTTATGTACTTTCAAAAATGACCTCATTTTTGAGCTTACATCAATTGTCTTACGATGTACTCTTACGTACGAAAATATGGGGTGTAACAGAATGACTAATACGCTGCACCTATACGATCTTCACGTGGGATATGCTCCCACAACCTTCCGCACCAGGTAGTCAAATCTGAACATCAATGGATATAGACCATGCTATTTCTATAGGGCAAGTCAAGCATCTACATTTCAATACCCAACACTTCTTCCACAACCCAACCATTCTCAGGCTGCCCAAAAATAGTGGCAGCATACTCTAAACATCTGAAATCCTCCCCTGCTCCTCCGAGCTTATGACATTCATATCAAAACCGAACCGCAACCTTGATCCTCAACTTCCAACTTCCATACCGCTCACTTCACCTATCATTCCGCTACACGAGAGTACAAGAATTTCATCATAACCCCTGAACCACCAATAAAATAAACACTTCATCGGCTAGATCCCTTTTCACTCAACTCATTTCGGAAGAATAATTGCAACACACAACCGAATTCCCATAATCACAGAAAAATGCAAACCTCAAGTTGTAGTCTAAACTGCCATAACTCTTCCGGAATCCATTTACACATAACAGAACCTTCAGAATCAAATACTTCCAAATCAATCAAATCACGGAGGCTGTCACGCCCGCACGTACGACTATGAATCACCTGTATAGACTTAACACACTGAAGGAACTGATCATTTCCACAACATGCTGATTCAAACCATTACGAACTGACTCAACTTCTTCCAACTTATTCTTAACTTGCCTTTGAAATAATAGTTTTATTCAAACACATAACGTACCTCAAACAACACTCATCCCGAGTGACCCAAATCACGAGATCACATCGTTTTAATACCCATCCGCTATCTCATACCCTCCTTATGCACTCAACTAATACACCCGTGCTGAAAGACCTCTTGCGAATCCGAAGCTATTTCTTCAATTTCTCTAACACTGCACCGTAAACCCAATGATAACATAGAAATTCCCCAAGTATTTTTCACATTCTACTGCAAAACCCAGCCCTCAGCCACATAACGAACCCAAATCTTTAAATACCGCACTTTAGTCCTTGAACCCACTAGAACCATTGTTGAGAGTCACCCATTCTGACCTGGTCCCGAATATGTAGCCAAACTCTAGTGCTCTGCTAGCACATGAACCCTTCCAAAGAAGAAACCAGATGAATTCTTTTCCTTGCACATCACATCCACAAGAAGCATATATTCTGAATCATCCCCAACACCTGCACATGAATCGATAAGGCGAAATGTAACACATATACGTCAAATTCCTTGTCGAAAATACCATTAATGGTTTTCTCCTCTTGGTCATAAGTAATCCACCAATGCACCGAAAATAGGAAACTACACAGGCACACAACCACGTGACCCAATTGTAGATGGTGGGCTCCCACACTTAGCTTTACACTGTAATCACATAGATCTAGACCCCACAACGACTTCTTCTTTCCAGTTACCATGACCCTACACCGTTACTCGACCAACTTCTCGCAAGCTATCGTTGCACCAATCATAACACAACTCGAATTATCAGCCACCACCACACACTCAACCTCCTAGGTGTCATACCGTCTTCTTCGAGCGACCCAAGCTCATATCGTAGTACATGCACCCATGCTGGGCAGAAAGTAGAACTTTTCATAGGAACCTCATCTAAACCACGCAACCGCTAACATACTCACAGGAGGTAGCCCACATGTGTACCCTCATATCGACCTCCTTCAACATCATTGCTATAGTTACATCCATCATGAAATCAATTAATCTCCCTGGGTCCACACTGATCCGCCGGCCATAAGGATCTTTTCATTCATTAACATTACCCGAAGGTCCAACAATATGTTTGAAACTCGAGCCGTACTACATCCAAAACAATGATCTAATACTCACTCCTACCTTCCAATCAAGCCCTTCTCGTCACATTCCAGATTCCTAAGCACAGAAACCACCTCAGAGATCATCTCCATCAAACCATCGACACTGGAAATGCTGATTCGATCCTGATGTCACAACGCACAACCATCTCTGATAACTTCTTGTTAGGTTCCATCTCACAACATCGTGCCCAGAGGCAAACAAATAAAGACCAACATGCCGATGAGCCTCAATGCATTCAATCAAGGATGGCGATACCACAATATTGACAAGAATCCCACCAAATTCGAAAATATCAAATCTCAACCGTAGGCAACAGCAACACTGGGACAAAATGACAGAACACCCCTCCACAAGGCGACAGTAATAGCCCACTCGAATACGCATAGAGAAACATCCTGCACCATATCTGCAGTACCATTACAGCTCCTCGATGCCTAATTGATAACAAGCGCTCAACATTGTATAAGAATGAGTAGAAACGAAATAAAGGCATAAGCTTCAATGGAATCAAATCGCATGACAAGGAATCAAGAAGGGAAGTACTCCTAACATCCCTGTAGCCTCTCGAAGATAAGTACATACGTCTCCGTACCGATCAACAAGACTCTACTAGACTCGCTCATGACTCCTGAAACCCAAGTGAAGCTAGCGCTATGATACCAAGCTATCTCGACCAAAAATCTACTATAGGCCGTGATGGCGCCCAACGTTGCTGTTAGGCAAGCGAACGGTGAACCATCTAAATAATTATCCATTTTTAATTTTTAAAAATTAGTAATTTCATAAAATAAATAGAATAAAATGTGGCATTCATAGGAACCTTTGCTTTTCTTTACCAAGTTTCGAATGTAAATAAATCATAATGTGAAATGATAATAATAACGTGAACTACAATAATGAACATCCACTAGGAACCCCCAAAATCCGGTGTCACAAGTGCATGAGCATCTACTAGGAAGTACAATAACAATACAACATCTGTCTGGAATACAAGATAGATATGATAAAGTAAACAATTATGATGGAAACTCTGTGTGTTGCGAATCATAGCATGGAAATGCAACTCACCATAAAGTCCCCTCAACAGCTGCACTTATGCGCCCAAATAGACACCAAATGAACCTGTCAGATCCTGCACATTTAGTGCAGAAGTACAACATGAGTACGTAAATCAATGTGTACCCAGTAAGTATCTAGCCTAACCACGAAGAGGCAGTGATGAGGGGTCGACATTGACACTTACTAGTGGTCCAGTAAATCAAATATAGATAAGTAGAGAAGTATGAAACATGGTAAGTAAACAATGAGTACGGATGTAGGCAAATAATATGATCTACACCTGAAAAGTGAATGCAAAGTCCTCAAATACTGGATACCTCTCAAATGGAGTACGTAATGGTCAACACCAAATCAACGGTCACATCTCAAGTTTGGAAAACTTATGCGTACGCAGACTTCTTATCAAGTATTTCGCACGATTCTGCCGAGGCGAGCGGCCCGATCCCATAAGAGTGTTTCATAGAAATGTCGAGGCGAACGGACGATCCCATAAGAGTGTGATGCATAATCCTACCGAAGCGATCGACTTGGTCCCATAATAGTGTGATACATAGCCATGCCAAGGAGAACAACCTGATCCCATAAGAGTGTGATACATAATCCTGTCGAGACGAACAATCCTATCCCATAAGAATATGTTACTTTGCCAAGATGAACGACCCGATCCCATTAGAATAAGAAGCTTTAACAGGTCCATGACCCCACTCACGAATATATGTGTGAGTTTTGAAATTTTAAGGAAACCTTTTGATGAATACGCACAACGCGGAAGAAATTCGTAATGGAAGCACAATTTCTACGGCTAATCAAGTAGCTCATCAAATGACTAAAATAGTGAGTCCATTACTCTATGCGAGTCTAGTCTATGGTCATAATGCGACTCAGAGTAAGTAAACATGTAAGAATAACTCAAATAGTACAACTAAAGCATGTCATGAATCTAAGTCTACTCGGACATAATAAGAAATTCTAACATATGCACGGACACTCATCACTTCATACGTGCGTAGATCCCACAACCTGTAGCATATAATAAGAATAACACCTACGGGGTAAATACCCCCTCACAAGGTTAGGCAGGAGACTTACCTCGCTCTAAAGTTCCATAATTGGCTCCAACGCCTCTCTAGCACCTCAAACAAATGCCCATCGATCAGAAAATAGTCAAACAATCATGAACACCAATAAAAATATACTTAAACACTCATAATTAATTAATTTATAAAAATTCCCAACTTCGCTAGAAAAGTCAGCAAAGTTAACCCCTGGCCCACGTGCTCGGTTTTCTAAAATCTTCAAAGAAAAACACTACCCATAACATCACGAACTCAAATATATAATTTATTCACAATTCCATGTCCAATTTCGTGGTCAAAATTCAAAAATACTGAATTTTAGGTTTTTTCCCAAATACCACAATTTCTACAAAATTTCATGTTTAAATCCTCGTAGAACCCATGTAATTAACTAAAAATATGTGGAAATTACTTACCTTGCCATAGATGATAAAAATCTCCTCTTCAAGCGCTCCAAAATTGCCCATACAAGTGAAAATGAGAGAAAAATGAACCACATCCCGTATAAAATCAAGTCTGCCCAGGCCTACTCTTCTTCGCGATTGGTGAAAAAGCCTCGTGATCGCGAAGGCTAACTCCTCCCAGCTGCCCAACTACTCTTCGCGTTCGCGACCACCTAATCGCATTCGCGATGCCCCGCTGACCCTGCTCTTTGCGTCCCCGCTTCACCCCTCGCATTCGCGAAGGCCTTCTACCTCGCAGCCACCCAGCTCCCAGCCTTCTTCGCGTTCGCGAAGCAGGACAAGGTCCTTCTCCGCGTTCGCGTGAGCCTCCTCGCGTTAGCGAAGAGAAAAATAAGGGCCCTTCATCAGCCTTCTTCGCGATCGCGGGACTATCTTAGCGATCGCGAAGCACACCAGCACACCAACAACATCAAAGCATCGAAACTTGGTCCGAAACCACCCCGAATCACACCCAAGGCCCCGTCCAATCACACCAACAAGTCCCAATACCCTGTCCAAACTTATCCAAAGGCTAGAAACGCCACGAATAATATCAAAATCATAAATCGACGATCAAAATATTTCTTTCAATTTTCAAACATTTAAACTTTGACGAACGCACCCGAACCATATCAAAACATTCCAGAATGATGTCAAACTCTACGTACAAATCATAAATCACGTTACGAACCTATTCCAAGGCTCGGTATCCCAAATGAATATCGATAATGCCAAAGTCTACTTCAAACCAAACATAGGAAATTCTAAAACCTTCAAAATGCCAGCTTTCCATAATAAGCCCGAAACTCAACCCGAACATACATCTAAGTCCGAAATCATCATACAGACCTATTGGAACCTTCAAATTTTGATTCCGAGGCAGTTTATCCAAAAGTCAAACCTTGGTCATCCCTTCCAACTTAAAGCTTTCGAATTAAGAATTTTTCTTCCAAATCAACTCCGAACTTCCCGAATTTCAATTTCGACCACACGTATAAGTCATAAAACATGAAGTGAAGCTATTGAAGACCTCAAACTGCTGAACGATGAACTAGAGATCAAAACGACCGGTTGGGTTATTACAGGGGCCCTGTTCCGACCATAGTACATCCATCAATAAAGGCCTATAGACATATCCTGTCAGTTAATGTAGTATGTTGGGCTTGTAGGCCTTGTATTTATTTATTTTTGGTTTGTCAGTTGAACTTTTTATGACAGTCTTGCCGGCCCAACTTTATATTGATGTTCAGTTAGAGCTAGTCTCCATTTAGTTTTATATTTTGTTTCACAAATTGTCCTACAATGTGGCCTTATGGCCAAAGTATCACATTGTATGTCTAGAGACCCTTAGTCTCAGGTTGGTATGCTCGGTCAAGTGAGGCACCGGGTGCCGGTCTCGCTTCCCAGGTTTGGGGCGTGACAAATTTAGTATCCGAGCAGTTCTATCCTACAGAGTCTACAAGCCGTGTCTAATAGAGCCTTGTTTATAGATGTGTTGTGCACCACATTATATAAACAGGAAGATACAAGACATTTAGGAGTCTGTTTCCCTTTTTTTCAAATCTAAATCGTGCCATAGAGTTAAGTCATAAGAGTTTGAGGCAGGACTTATGTTTGTTAATGATATAGAGATGCTTGCAATTAGAAAAATTATAGCTAGCTAGAGGGATGGTACAACAATAGGTAAGGGCACTAATAGAGAGAGACTTCTTGACGACGTGGCCCTGTTTGAGGCCCTATCAGATTGTGCACACCAGATGTGCGAATTTCCAGCTTAATACCCTAAGATGGGAATATTAAACACACCTCGTGAATAGAAAGCCATGGGAGTATCTGAAGGTAAAAGTATAAGTTTCAATAGGTAATAGAAGCTAGGTGAAGTAGGGTACGAGGTACCCAGTTAGTGAAGATTATCAGTATTTACAATTCATGCAGAGAAATATAAGAATTCTGAGTTACCTTCAAGAGTAATTTAGGTATGTACAACTGGCCACACCCATCTCAGTTATGCCCTATATGAGCTAAACAGATATAATTTAAGAGAATGATGGGATATTAGGATGTAGCTGGGTTAGAGTAACCCAAAATGTTGGATGGATTGTTAGCGTTAGATGACATTTCCAAAGGATATTGTAAACATGATAATAGTTTTCTTTTTGATACACCCAGGTGGTGCACTCTAGAATAGTACAGTCCTATATGAATTCCAGAATGTTCAGAAAATTGAGAAGATATGCATTGGCATCCTAGGATGGATAAATATTTACCTTAGTATGACTTCCGTCCCTAGTAAAGAGAGAATATTAGTTGACTCGAAGAGCCAGTGAGATTGAGCAAGGGGAGCTAAAGTGAAAGAATGTTTCGTTGAAGTTTTCAGAATAAGGTAATAGACAAAAATATTAGCAGGTGAATAAAAAAAGAGTAATTAAATCATTTGGAGTAAGATGTGATAATTGGGTGATAATAGTAAATAAAAAATATGACAGGATGATATAGTCTATAGTCAAGTGCCGGAAAAGACAAGAGAAGACACGCCTTAAGACAATAAAAGAGTATAAGCCATAAAGTCATATCCTCATTTCGAGAAAAGAGTTAATGACTCCAACGTGATTACCAGAAGGAAAATTTAGACCCCGGAGTAATAGATTTCAGTATGGGCTAGTGAACAAGATAAACTGAACATGAATTAGGGATCAGAAGATGTGATAATAGTCGACATTAAGAGAATCTCCGCGTTCCGGCAATAATAGAATGGATAACAGAAGAATAACCTTTAAAGGTCATTCAAGAAGGCGCTTCCCTAAAACAAGCAATGCGAGCAGAGTTAAGCTTAAGGGACTAAGTGTGCCAGTTACACTAGGTGTCACGCTCGTGCACAAGAAATTTAGTTATCCTTGGTACAAAAGGTTACCGCGAGGCGAGTAAGAGTCAGTAAAGATGTGAAAAGGCGCCAAAGATGAGGAGGTAAAACATTTATAGGTAAATCTTCATAGTATTAAATGTTAGTACGCCCCTAAAGAAGGGAAGATAGTATGATATAGTATTAAGTCGGAGTTAAGTACTTCAGGTAACTATCGAATAGTAAAGGAAGAATGCAGTAAAAAGGTGAATGGGGTGAGATTGCATTTATTCAGATCCTACAAATATGTTATGACTCTAGAATATTCTGCAAACACGGCATTGGGGAGAGGCAGTAAGGGTTCCCGCCTAGGATGTTATTGATTAATAAGTGTGAATGAACACTTGATACATAAGGAGCCAGTGTGAGAGGTAAGTTAAGACAAAAAAAAATTACCCAAGAGAGGTTACACAAAATATAGATATGAGCATTGACCGATGAGTGGTTAATTGATTTAGGAAAAGCCTAGTTATGGCTAGACAAAAGGTCTAAGATAAATTAGCAGATCATGAAAGACAAATGAAGTGAAACCCAACATAGGAAATTTAGTCTCGTAGATACAAGATGGTAATCTTGGAGAAATATTCAGATAGGAGCCGGGGTAGTTAAAGGTACCGTATAAGTGTTATGAAAATAAAGAGAGTGTCAATGGGTAGACAGTCAAAATTTCAGTTTAGAAGTAACCCTACGAGCATATGGGTGCGGAGGTAAGTAACTAAGGATAATTATAGTTGAGTAAGAACATAAAAAATTCCATCGGATATAAAATGTAATAAGCTCGCAGCTTTACAAGAGTCAGAGGGTCTCCCCTAAGTACTACAACAAAAGACTAGCTAAGGAAATAAGGAAGAAGGCTTCAACCTAAGCATAGTAACTTGAAGAAGAAATGGTCTTGTACTAATAGTCTCGCTGCAACATTGTATGCACTCCGTAAGAAAGTGGCACCTATAGTGGCTAATGAACGGGATGTAAAAATCAAAAGTGATATTTGAAATCATACGAGTTACAGGAAATTTCAATATTTGTGAGCACTAAGATAAGCCAAGTATTTATGCAGCAAGTGGCAGAACGACCAGAAAAAGTAATTGCTTATGTTTAAAGACAACTGAGACGGAACGAAAGGAAATCTATGATGCTAGCAAGTTAAAGGATGGTCATGGGTAGTATAAATAGATATGTGTAGGTTGCAAGATAAAGTATGGTAGAGTGACAAGGTTTTAGGTAGATAGGAGTAAGGATAAGGAAAGGTGATTAAGAAGATGACAAGAATAGTTAGGTCCTCGGGATTAAGCCCATTAAATAAGAGAGCTGATGGTTTCTGTAAGTTATAGAAAGCTCAGTATAGCCTGAACAAACTCGAAGGAGTCTAAGACTAAGAGAATTTAGAAGAGATGAAATGCTGCCTTGGTAGTAAAATATCATATGGAATTAGAGTACCCCCCATAAGATGAACCACGTTGGGATGCTATGAAATACGTTTATGGAAGTATAATATCATCCCTAGGTGGATCAGGTAAATCACTTCAGATGTTCCCGATGAGACGCGAGCCCTAGTGACACAGTATTACGTAAGAGATTTCAAGTTATCAGTGGTAGATTATAGATCAACATTAAGGTGAATCAATAATATATGGATAAAAGTTCCAAATTATGAGAGGAGATTAGGATGTCATTCAAAGAACAACAACAGAAGCATCGAATTTTGGAATATCCAGATAACCAATATCTAAGAACTACTGAAAAATCAAATTCCAATCCTAAAGCTGCAAAGCTGACCAGAAACTCTATCTCTACTGATACTGGGCAAAATGCCACAGGGACAAAATAAAGTACCATTGACTGGGTTCAAAGGAGCTTTGGAATGCATAAGGAAACACTTAATGTGACCCTCAATCACTCATGTCAGGAAATACCATCTCAGACATTTGTGGAATCACCTAATTTAAATGGAAAAACTACAAGCTCTATACAACTAGGGAGAGATGAAGTAAGTTCAGAGGTACATACAAGACTAAGACTTGATGATCAAAGAGTTAATTCAATGCCAGCATAGGTTAATACAGAGGTATCTAGGAAGGCTTTGGACAACAACAAAACTGGGGAACTAGTAGCCAACGTTGAAGGTGCAATGGTAATATTACCAGACAAGGAGCAGGTCAGTACTGCTGATGCAGAGACAGATCACTGTCACACCCCTTTTTATTCACCTTAACCCTCTTTAAAAGATAAAAAGTGATTTTAAAGCTCAAAGGATTCCAATTTGAAAAATGACAAAAGATGTGTTAAAAAGGATTTCTTAGAGTCACCACTTGACATTTGATTTTGATGTGTCAAGTCACCGTTTTTAAAAATAATAATTTTTTCCTTTAAAATACATTTAGACTCTTAAACAAATTCTGTACCAGAGATTCTAAGTAAGGGGGTTCATTTGACTGGGGAAGAAGGTGTTAGGCATTCCCCAAATCCCGTGAAGCTCACGTCACAGTTGCATACATGATCTAGTTGGATTTAAAGGCTACTCTAATTGAGGTTAAATACACAAAAATAAAATAGACATAAAAAGGTTCGAGGTTGTCCCCACCTAATAAAGGAAGATAAAATAAAAATAAAAATAAAAATAATAATACTACAATCTTATATTACGCCTCCTCAATGTCGTCCCATCTTTGGCCTCCAATTACTTGATACTACGGGGTATTTCCCGGATAAAATAATAACTAAGGGACTACGTCTAACCTCAATAAATAAATAAACAACCTAACATTTGGCTACCCAAGTGTTGACGGCCTAACATGCTCCTAGCGATCGAATTAATAAAGCAAAATAAAGAACTAAAAAGAATCATCTAAAGCTCAAATTATTAGAATCGGTCAGTTCTCTGCCATAACCATTTTTCCTTAAGAAGTTCAAATATGTTTTTGCTCTTTAAATCTGACAGACTCCCACGGCCCATTTATCATTATAACCTATGAATAAGACCTATTTTCATTATCTAAACTTTGTTTAACAATGAATAACTCCCATCTTCCCAAACTAAAGTAAATACATCAACTTAATCACATCACCCAAAAATCATATGCCAAACAAACGAAATGTAATAAAAAATTTAGGGATGGACCTCAGTTGATATTATTAAACACAGAACCCGACAAGATGGACGAGCTTAGACCGGATCCTTGCACGCCACCTCGGACGGACCTCGACTCTTTACCGATGATTGAAACGGATGACTGCTGCCACCGAAATTTCCGCCGGGAAAACTGGGTTCATCGGCAAGATGAAGTTGATAGCAGAAACTCGATTTTATGTGGTTTTCAAGGTGTTTGAAGGTTGTTTCGATGGAGGCAGTGACTGGTTTTAGAACTTATTTAAAGTGGTAAATTTACATAGTATGTTAAGAGTGGTATTGGCTCATTTTTTGAATGATAGGCATGATATGGGTGTTGTTAATTCATGAAAAATGGAAGATCCCCAGACTCGGACGTTTGGTGAAAGGTTTTATGATGCAGGAATTAATTTCTTCTCATAATCTCTCCTCTTTTTTTCTCTGTCCGTTCCCCTCACTCTCACTCCTTAAAATCCTCTCTCCCCGTCAAAAGTGTTGCCCCCACTCAAACTCTCTCTCCCGAAAATCCTCTCCTCCCCTTAAAGTCTTGTCCCCACTTCCTCTCTCTTCGCTTTCCGTTCCCTCTCTGTGTGTGAATATTCCCCGTTTCTTTTTGAAATTCTTGGGCAAGAAGAAAGAAAAATGGATGAAAATGTGTGGACCCCTCTGCCATGTGATTGTGTGTGCTTTTGTGCGTATGAGTGAATTGTGAGATTGTGCAAAGGAGTTTGTTATCCAATTTTGTCTTTTTGTGAGGGTTCCACATATAAAGAGTAAAAATAATTTTTCTTTCATTAATTAATTCCCCTACTTTTCCTTTTGATATAGGAAAGAAACGTGAGTGTGACTCCAAAACAGTTTCCTTCCTCTTTCTCTTTTGAAAACCAAAAATAGGAAGATTTAGACTAAACTATTGAATCATAATGCCATAAAATCCTAAAGAAAACGTGACTTTATTTGGAATTTTCATTTTTATGAGAAGTAACATGAACTAAATTAACTAAAACAAAGAATGATATTTTTGTAGTTTTCATTTTTAGGGAAAATGAAGGAAAAAGGTCAAAAATAGGCAAAGTACCAATTTTAGAACCAAAAGAAACATCTAAGCGCTTAAAATGGATAAAATTTCGGGGAGGGTAAAAAATTACATGTCTACAACTGCCTCTCTTTGGCTAGAAACACGAAGTATTTTTTAGACAAAGAAAAGACAAGACAAGTTCTTGACCCGACCTTTATTTAAAAGAGAATAAAACTAAAAGAAAGGAGAATGTGACCGAGCCCTGGTATCTGAGCTGCCTACATATCCTTTGTTATAAAGGAATCACGCCACGTGTATTTTAGAAGTAAGAAGAGTGTAGAAAGATACTGAGGTGGGGAGTCGAGTGAAGTGCCGTCAAGGTTCCGGTCTGCTGTTCCTGTCTTTACATCAAAATAAAACCAAATAAGATAAACTTTACAAGAAAAACTAGAAAATTCTATCTACTCTTCTATCTAGAATCTTTTCGTGGTCTTGTTATGCATATGAAAATGTTGACTCACGTTCTCAAGGCGAGCTTCTACTACTTTCAATTTGAATTGACCCTATTCTTCAGGCGGGATCCTGATGCTTCTTTCTTGAACTTGGAAATTAAAAATTGACACTAATTTTCAGGTTGTTTCTTGTTACCCGAACTTGAATGCAACATGAAACTTGACCCTATTCTTCAGGCGGGCTCCTGCTGTTTGAACTGGAAGTAGACTCGAGCTTGAAACCGATTTTTGAAGTAAATACCCTCATTCTCTAGGTAGGCTCCAGCTATCGACTTGAAACTTGAAATAAAATCTAAACGGAATGCCCTAGTTCTCTAGGTGGGCACCTGCAATTACAGCGAAACAGACAAAACAAAGAAAATATTCTGCCCCAGTTTGTATCAGGAACATTTGTGAATGTTAGTTGAATGCCATTATCCAGGAGGGTCCTGAAAATTTAAAATTAAGTCTCATTATTGAGTAGGGTCCTTAAAATGTAAAACTAAATCCCATTATCTAGGAGGGTCCTGAAAACTTAAAACTAAATCCCATTATCCAGGAGGGTCCTAAAAACATTAAACTAAATCCCATTATCTGGAAGGGTCCTGAAAATTTAAAACTAAATCCCTTTATCCAGGAGGGTCCTGACAACTTAAAACTAAATCCCATTATCCAGGAGGGTTCTGAAAGCTTAAAATTAAATCCCATTATCCAGGAGGGTCCTGAAAGCTTAAAACTAAATCCCATTAGCCATGAGGGTCCTAAAAACTAAAAATTAAATCCCATTATCCAGGAGGGTCCTGAAAACTAAAAACTAAATCCCATTATCCAGGAGTGTCCTGAAAACTTGAAAACTAAATCCCATTATCCAGGAGGGTCCTGAAAACTTAAAACAAAATCCCATTATCTAGGAAGGTCCTGAAAGCTTAAAACTAAATTCCATTATCCAGGAGGGTCCTGAAAGCCTAAAACTAAATCCCATTATCCA